ACATTTACTGACTTTAAATTCATTGATATAATGAACTTTTAATAGATATTATGAATATTTTATGGAGTATTTTTTATTAGCTAATAACTGGATTTATTAATATAACAAATCACTGTTTATTAATATGCTGTACTTGAATATATCATAACTTAATATAACATTTAATTAAATCAATGAAAAAGTTCATTCTTCCAACAAATATGTTCATATACTTAATAAATTCATTTATTAGATGTCTATTATAAAATTTTGTAGAAGTGATAAAATACATTCATTATATTAACGCATTTTTTTATTAGTTGATAAAGTCTGTACATTAGCTCAATAAACGCGTTAATAACAATAAAGTTTAATGCATGATTTAATGATATTATTCATTGAATGAATAAAGTTTTTGGTTATTATAATAAATCCATGGCAGACTATTTTAATGTATATATTCATTGTCACAATGAATTCTTAATAGTTTAATAACTCAAATTGATCATTTTATAAAACCTAAATCATTATAGGAATAAAATTGTTCATTGGACCAATTTTAATGAATTTTTTATTAATACCAATGAATACTTTTATTGTATTTACGTACATTTTTGGTTCAGTGTGTGTGAGGATGTGGTAAAAAGTCTGTTTGTAATGTACAGGATCTCAATTGTGTTTCTGTAGGTGATATCTAATGTAAAGTAAAAGTCAAAAATGGAATATGACGATAATTATCAGTCCATGTATCCATAGTTAATGAAATTGCACTTGGATTATCTTCATTTATTTTCGTTTATTAATTTCCAAGTAACATATCACTACTTCTACAAAATAAATTATAATTATATTTAAATTATATTTAATTAAAAAAATAAAAAATACACAACTGATAAAAAATTTTTTAAATATTATTATAAAACGATAAGTTTTATATTTAATTAAAAAAATAAATACAACAGCAACTACGCAGTCATTATATACTCTCTCGAGTGAACTACGAGATAATGTACTTGAATGTGGCAAATCTGATTCAATTTGTACAATACCATGTGTTTTTAAGAAGTCTTTTAGTCCATCTTTTTCAACCTCATGAAACGAGATGAAATCTCTGCAAAACCAAACGGTTATGCTATCAATTAATTCTTTTCTTTTGTCAGGTTTGTTTAATTGTTTAGATTGTCTGGATGTGGGAGATTCAAAGAATCTCCTAATATTGAATCTTTCATTTGATAAATGCGTTGTTTTTAGCTTATGCTCTTCTCTCAAATGACAAAGTATATTTCCAGTACTAACTGCTTTTTTGCATCTATGAATTTTTCGTCTGTCTGATGCATGAAGCACATCTTATAATATACATGGAATTTGTCAACTAAAATACCTTTTTTGTTATCTTTTAGCATACCAAAATATTCTCTAGCAATACTTCGAGTACGAGTGGAATTTTCAATATTTACTACAAGATTTCTATTTTCTTTTAATTTATTGACATCCTCTACTTCATCTAATTCATCTAGCTCTTCAGATCCTTCTACACATATATCGGTACATGACATTTTGCTTCGTTATCTGTTTGAAAACAATAAAGTACTAATATTGATAAGATAATTCTAAGATATAATAACAGAATAATCTCTCGACATTCCAAAACGTTCGTTTTCGAGAAAAATTTTACTCAATAATATAGTATATGTTACGTGTGCTATATATTTAAGTAAAATTTTCTTCAGAGAACGTTTTGAAATGTAGCTCTAAACTATGTAGCATAAACATATACATAAATCAGTAGTATTCATAGTTGATTCTTGTTAGCATACGGTCTTGTCACACAATGTATCTCATGGTAACGTGAATGTATCTCATGGCAACATGAAAGCGTATGGATGGATGGCGCTTGCGCATAAAAACTACGTCTTCTCTCGCGTTATTCATCTTAGCTTTCGTGTGTGTTCTGTTTATGCCTTCTTGTTGTTGTCGGTTGTTCTCTCTTGCGTTAAAAGCTAATTCTGTTCAATATTACTTCTAATAAACTCCTATTCAACTTGAGAAGTCTAAGTGTCTATTTGATAAGGCGAACGTATAGAATAATCAATTCCCAATATTGGTTATGGGCCTAGAGTTCGCTCATCGGTAAGCTGCTCCTTTCGAAATCTGCATAAGGACATCAAAGGACATTGATAAAAATGGCTGAAGCGAATACCACGACAACTGCAATCATCCCGATCACCAAGCTGCGAGGTCAGGAAAATTTATGCGACATGGAAAATCGCCATTGAAAATTTGCTGAGCATAGATGGTTTGTGGAAGGCTGTCTTAGGAACCGAAGAAAATGCCGAAAAAAGGGCGAAGGCAAAGGCGAAGATCGTGCTTAGCGTCGACGAAACGCTATATGTCCACGTGGCGAAAGCGACCACAGCGCAAAAGGCTTGGAACAACTTTCAGAAAGCTTTTGAGGATACAGGTCTGACCAGGGTTGGGTTTTCGAAGGATTTTCTAGGGTTTTTTACATTATACTGTATTATACTGTATTATACGATATTATACGTAAAAAAACTGTATAAAACGTATAAAACTCTAATTTATGGTCTACGAAACTGTACGAGTGTCCAGAATTCCAGAACGACTCCATGTCATCGATTTTTTTGAAATATCGATTTTTGTTATTGCTGCGCCGTGCACGCACATTTTTTTATTGGTATAAAATTTTTATTTTCCCAAAAATTATGGCGAGGTCTGCAACCTTTTCGTTTCATTTTATTACTTGCTTTATAAGGTTATAATATAACCTTATAACTTACGTTTTTCTTCTTCTTCTTTTTCTATGTATTGGCCAAGCAACCCTTAGGTTTAGGTTGAGACTAGACTACCGAGGTCTGTGGTATTATGAATAAAATCGAAATATGCAAGGCACCGACCACCTAGCAATCGGGCAGGTATAAAAAGGATGCAACAAAAGCGAAAATGATGCAGACCCCCCCAAACACTGGACGCTTAGCTAATAATAACGTAATTAAAAAATATAAATCGAGGATGTAACGCTCGAGATAGAACATGTTCGAATCGCACGAGCGACCTCTCAAGACACTTACAACGCTCAGCTCTTAGTTCTTTGTTTGTTAGCGAATTTTCGATCGATTTTTAGCGTGGATAATGTAGAAATTGATAGAAAGTATTAAATTACGCATATAATGTAGAGATGGCGCCACATGAAGTATAATACGTATAAAACTAAATGATGTATTATACTTGTATAATATCATGTATAATACTATGTAAGAAACCTCGTGTATAATACGTGCCCAACCCTGGTTGTGACACGAAAAGTCGGTCTACTCCGAAAAATGACAACAACGAAATTGGAGAGCTGTAACTCCATGGAAAGGTACGTGGGCGAAATCATATCAGCCGCGCATCAATTATCTGCCATTGGTTTTGAAATAAACCAAGAGTGGCTCGGGACTGTCTTATTAGCCGGGCTCCCAGAACGATATGAGCCAATGATAATGGCGCTTGAAAATTCCGATTTACAAGTAACAGGAGACTCGATTAAAATGAAGTTGCTGCAAGAATCGAATTATCTCGATAAATCGAAGAAATCGATAAATTCTGACTCGGCGTACCATGTGAAGCGACACGTAAGAGGCGCGAAATCTAAACAACCATTGAGGACTATTAGATGCTGGAATTGTGATAAAGAAGGACACATCGCAAATGAGTGCAGAAACAAGAAATATGAAAATAAGGAAGAGAAAGTTCACAAAGACAATAAATATAAGGAAACTTAGATCGTGAGAAAAGAAAATCCGATTCAAATACAAAGTTGGCCTTTATGGTAAACAGTGAAGGTAATAGTCAAGATTGAATTGTGGATTCGGCGGCCTCAATGCACATGACACCGGACGAGACGATGTTTGAAGATTTAATGCCGTTCTCTGGACAGGTTACCGCTGCAGATAATAAAAGGTTACATATAAAAGGAAAAGGAAAGGTAACTACATCGGTATTAATAAAAGAAAGAATTCGCGAAGTTGAGCTGAATGACGTATACTATGTTCCCGAACTTAATGTAAATCTATTGTCAGTGCTTAAAATAACCGAAAAGGGTTATATTGTTAGTTTCAATGAATTTGAATGTGTAATAACAGACACGAATGGCAAAATGATAGCAACCGTAAAAAGAGTAAAGGACGTATATATATTAGTGCAGCCCACAAACATGGTGTACTATTGTAAGAAAAGTAACAGTGCTTTGTGGCATAGGAGGCTAGGTCACTTGAGCAGGCAAAGTATGAAATTGTTAAGAGATCAACATGCAACTGGTTTAGTTTTTTCAGATCCAGACGAAAGAATATGCAAAATTTGTGCAAAAGTCAAGCACGCTAGGAAATCAGTCAATTCAAACGAACATAAGACCTACAGACCACTAGAATTGATTCATTCAGATTTGTGCGGGCCAATGGAAGAGACGTCCATCGGGGGAGCAAAATATTTTGTTCTTTTCGTTGATGACTACTCAGGAAAATTGAGTATCTATTTCTTGAAAGGTAAGCATGAAGTTCTGGAAGCATTCAAGACTTACAAGAAATATGTCGAAACGAGTACGGGACAACGGATTATGGCACTACGCTCAGACAATGGACGTGAATACATAAGTGGACCATTCAAACAATTTCTTCGAGAAGAGGGAATTCAACATCAATTGACCATCCCGTACACGCCACAACAAAATGGCCTGGCAGAGCGGAGCAACCGTTCTGTAGTTGAGAAAGCGCGCTGTATGCTGGCCGAAGCGGGTCTTCCTAAGAAATTTTGGGCAGAGGCAAGCTCGACTGCGGTGTATCTAATCAACTGATCACCGGCAAAAAGACTCTTAGGCAAAACATCTTATGAAACTTGGACAGGTAAAAAACCTAATTTATCACATTTGAAAGTTTTCGGTTGCAGAGCCATGTTTCCTCTGTTCCTATCGCTATGTCTATCGCTATCGCTATGTCTATCGCTATCGCTATTGCCTCGCATTGTGTTTAGGCCTTATCAATCAGCATTCAGATTTGGTTTTGCATCGAAGCTTCAACCAGCAACAACGATTAAAACATCCGCGTTGAAAGAGAGCGATGAGAGAGTTGCTTTTTCTTCGCGATCTTACGTTAATCAGCCCTTATCAGGGCTGCAGTTTGTGCATTTTTGCTTTGTTTCGTACTTTAATACGAGAGCTCTGCTCTGTTCTATCATACGTGTAACGTACCGGGGAATTTATTGCATAACCTCATTCCGGTTTCCCGCGCAGAGGCATGGCCTCGGACTCGGGGGGAAGCAGTGACCAAAACTCACATCGCAGTGTTTCCTTCTCCCTACATCCTCCTACATTGGTGATTAATCCGTCTAACCAGACCAATTCCTCACCCATTAATATGAATTCTAACGTTTCCAGCGATCTTTCTAGCTCGATGCTTAAATCGCTATTTGACGAAGCAGGCTTATCTGAGGTAGCAACATGCAACCCTAACAAAGAAATTACGCCATCATCATCATCGCCACCCCCACTATCATCAGATAGCTCTCAGGTAATGACCTCAAGAGATCCTAGCATGGAAATAGACGAAATTACAAATACTAGGAAGCGCCATTCCTCTGAGGAGATAGAAGCACAAGGTCGTTCCTCGACCTCCCCCCCAAAGCGATCTACCGCTTCGACAACTTCCACTTTGAATCCTCGAGACTCCCCAAGGCCAAATAACGCAGAAGACGCGATCGGTGCGCGCTCTCAGGATACTACTAATGCTGCAGCTAACCTTAAAGCTGCACCTAAATATCGCCCCCAGGACAACGGTCCCTACGCGGTCTACGTCTACGACCTGAATCGTGAAAAGGCTACACATCCGATTGTCATCTCAAGTATCATCGCGAACTCAGGTATTCCAGATATACAGGAGATCAAAAAAATCGGTAAAGGTAAAATCCTTATAGAGGCGAAATCTGCCACCGCTGCTAATAGGTTAGTAGATAATCCAACATTTTCTAAACATAACCTTAAAGCTTTCATACCAGCCTTTAGAGTCATCAGAGAAGGCGTCATTCAGGATGTACCTGTCGAACTTGCACTCGAATACATTCACACACACATTGAAACGCCAACCGCCAAAATCTTGGACATTCAAAGATTAAATAGAAGAGTCACAATAAATGGTAAAAGCGAATATGTACCCTCCAAGACACTTCGCATTAAATTTGCTGGACAGGTTCTTCCAAGAGAAGTGTTCTTGTTTAAAATCAGACATGAGGTACGACCCTATATACCTAAAGCTCGCATATGCTTCTCGTGCTTTAGAGTCGGACATATAGCTAAAGTCTGCAAGGGCCCGCCTAGGTGTCTATATTGTGGAAACAACGCCCATGAAAACGAAGACC